CTATCATGGGGAGGGGGGATGGGGGAGGGATTGCATTGGGAGTTATACCTGATGTAAATGACGAGTTGATGGGTGCTGACGAGTTGATGGGTGCAGCACAGCAACATGGCACAAGTATACATATGTAACAAACCTGCATGTTATGCACGTGTACCCTAGAACTTAAAGTACAATAATAATAAAAAATAAATAAAATAAAATAAAAGAGGAACCACCAATACAGCAGGGCCGTCATGCTGTTTCTAAGCCTCACACTAACTCCAGCCCTGTAGGAGGCAGGTGGTGACTAAGATAGGGCAGGCTCTGCCTTGTAGCATAGACACCTGTCAACTCCATTTCACTTTCACTTCATTGATAGTTACAGTTTTCATTTTAAAAATTACAAAAGTATCTTTTGGTTACAAATCCAAATAATACTCTTTCACTTTAGAAGCAACAGGGTCCCCTTTCTGAGTGCGCTTCTGTAGATATATGTGCTCTAATTTTCCTTCACAATTGTTTGCACGTACTCAATGTATGCTCTGCTGGTAAAAACACACAGAATTACACCGGGCACTGTGGCTCATGCCTGTAATCCCAGCACTTTGGGAGGCCCAGGTGGGCAGATCACATGAGATCGGGAATTCAAGACCAGCCTGGCCAACATGGTGAAACCCTGTCTCCACTAAAAATACAAAAATTCACCAGATGTGGTGGCACGTTCCTGTAGTCCCAGCCACTCGGGAGGCTGAGGCAAGAGAATTGCTTGAACCAGGGAGACGGAGGTCACAGTGAGCCAAGATCGCACCACTCTACTCCAGCCTGGGCAACAGAGAGACTCCATCCAAAAAAAAAAAACCCCCAAAAAAAGGCCACACCACTGAATATTAACCCATTGTGAGATATATGATTTGCAAATATTTTCTGCCATTCCATAGGCTACCTTTTTACTCGTTAATTGTGCCCTTTGATGCAGTTTTTAATTTTGATGAAATCCAGTTTAATCTATTTTTCCTTTGTTGCCTATGCCCTTGGTGCCATATCCAAGAAATCATTGCCAAATCTAATGTCATGTATTTTCCCCCATGTTTTCTTTTTTTTTTTTTTTTTTTTTGAGACGGAGTCTCACTCTGTCACCCAGGCTGGAGTGCAGTGGCGCGATCTCTGCTCACTGCAAGCTCCGCCTCCCGGGTTCACGCCATTCTCCCGCCTCAGCCTCCGAGTAGCTGGGACTACAGGCGCCCGCCACCGCGCCCGGCTAGTTTTTTTTTTCGTATTTTTAGTAGAGACAGGGTTTCACCATGTTAGCCAGGATGGTCTCGATCTCCTGACCTCATGATCCACCCGCCTCGGCCTCCCAAAGTGCTGGGATTACAGGCTTGAGCCACCGCGCCCGGCCTTCCCCCATGTTTTCTTTTAAGTGTTTATAAAACTGTAAGTTTTAGCTTTTCTCTTTCTTTAGGTCTTTGATCCGTTTGAGTTCATTTTTGTATAGGGTGTAAGGTAAGGGTCCAACTTCATTATTTTGCATGTGGATGTCCAGTTTCCCCAACACCATTTGCTGAAAAGACTGTCCTTTCCCCAATGAATGGTCTTGGCACTGTTTTTGGCACTGTTGTCAAAAAGCATCTGATGGCCGAGTGCAGTGGCTCACACCTGTAATCCCAGCACTTTGGGAGACAGAGGTGGGTGGATCACTTGAGGCCAGGAGTTCAAGACCATGTTGGCCTGGCCACATGGTGAAACCCTGTCTCTACTAAAAATACAAAAAAATTTAGCCAGGCGTGGTGATGCATGCCTGTAGTCCCAGCTACTCGGGAGGCTAAGGCAGTAGATTGCTAGAACCTGGGAGGCAGAGGTTGCAGTGAGCCGAGATCGCTCCACTGCACTCCAGCCTTGGGTAACAGAGCAAGACTGTGTCCCAACCCCCACCCACCCCAAAACAAAACAAAAAAAGCATTTGACTATATATGTGAGGATTTATTTCTAGGCTTAAAACAAACAATTAACTCCAGACTTTATTCAGATTTCACCAGTTTTTCCATGAACGTCCTTTTTCTGTTTCAGAATCCAGTCCAGGATATTACATCACATTTAGTTGTCATGTCTCCTTAGCCTCCATTGATCTACGACAAATTCTCAGCATTTCCTTTTTATGACCTTGATAGTTTCGAGTATTGGTCAAGCATTTCATAGACTGTCCCTCAGTTTGGGTTTGCCTGTTTTCTCATGATTCGACTGGATTATGGATATTTGGAAAGAATACCACAGAGGTGAAGTGTACCTTGATTACATCTTAGGAGGCATGTGCATCCACATGGCAGCACTGATGATGTTAACCTTGATCGCCTGGTTAAGCTGCGGTTTGCCGTTTCTCCACTGTAAGGCTGCCTTTTTCCCTTTCCATACAGTATGTACTGGAGTTGAGTCACTAAGTCCAGCCCACACTCAAAGGGGATGGGTATGCTCCACCTCCTGGAGTCCGGAGTATCTACGGGTATTATTTGGAATTCTTCAGTAAGGAAGATGTGTCTCTTTTCCCTTCCCTTAGCTGTTTTAGAAACTATTTTTACCTCGTCTGTAGGCATCCTACTTAGTTTTGCTTGTTTTTGAAACTTTCCTGTCAATGATCATGAGTTATTTACAATATTTTGCTATTAAGAGCAATGCAGCTGTGAGCAGGCTTGTACATGTTTCCTGGACTAATGTGCACGTTCTCTTAGGGAGTACTCCTAAGAGTGGAAATGCTGGGTCACAGACCTTGTGTCTTGTATTCAGATGTACAAGAAAATGCCAGATTTTTTTTTTTTTTTTTTTGAGACAGAGTCTCACTTTGTCGCCCAGGCTGGAGTGCAGTGGCGTGATCTCGGCTCACTGCAAGCTCCGCCTCCTGGGTTCCGTTCTCCTGCCTCAGACTTCCAAGTAGCTGGGACTACAGGTGCCCGCCACCACGCCCAGCTAATTTTGTGTGTGTGTGTGTCTTTAGTAGAGACAGGGTTTCACAGTGTTCGCCAGGATGGTCTCGATCTCCTGACCTCATGATCCGCCTGCCCTGGGCTCCCAGAGTGCTGGGATTACAGGTGTGAGTCACTGCGCCCAGTCCAATTGCCAGACTGTTTTTCAAAGTGGTTTTGCCAATTTGCATTCTCACCAGCAGCATATGAAGTTCTAATTGGTCCACATCCAAGACCAACAGTGGTATTCTCAGTCTTGTTAATTTTTGCCAGTCTGGTAGGTGTATCTCATTATGATCTTAATTTGTTTTTCCTGATTACTACTGAGCATCTTGTTATTTACTATTTGCATATCCTTTTCTAAAAATTGTGTGTTAAGATCTTTTGCCTTTTTTTTTTTTTTTTTTGAGACAGAGTCTCGCTCTTCGCCAAGAGCTGGGGTGCAGTGGTGCGATCTTGGCTCACTGTAACCTCCAACTCCCGGGTTCAAGCGATTCTCCTGCCTCAGCCTCCTGAGTAGCTGGGATTACAGGCACATGCCACCATGCCCGGCTAATTTTTGTATTTTTAGTAGAGACGGGGTTTCACCATGTTGGTCAGACTAGTCTCGAACTCCTGACCTCATGATCTGCCCGCCTCGGCCTCCCAAAGTGCTGGGATTACAGGCGTGAGCCACCGCGCCCGGCCAAGTGGTCTTTACTCTTATTGATTTGTAGGAATTATTTATATATCCTGGATTCTTTTAAAGCTGTATCTACCATATTTGTTCCAGTTTTAGCTTGTTTATCCACCACTCTGTATCATCACATGAAGAACAAAAGTTCTTATTTCAACACAGGGAAATTTATAGATCCTTCATGATTAGTATTTTCAATGTCTTCTTCAAGAAATCCCTCTCTCCCTTCAACCTAAGGTCACAGGGTTTTTTTTTTCCTAAATTTGAAGGTTTTTATATTTTATATTTGATTTATTTATACCTGATTTTTGTGATATATATGTAAATATAATGGTTTTCAGTATTAAAAACTCACATTATAATTACCAAGGAAACCATGGGGAAATGACGCTGAGACTCTCAAATATCCTTTTAAGAGGTTAGGACTAGGTCTCCTGCCCAATCTGTCCCTGAACTACAGGGTGACTGTGATTCCCAGTAACTTGCATAGACCTAAGCAACAGTCACACAAACGTCCATAAAAAGAAGCCAGTTTCTTTAAACACTAGCATCCATGTTATTTGGTACAGGGTAGCTGTCAAAAATCTGAGAGGATTTAGAGTAGTCGATTAAAATAAAAAACTTCTTTACACTTTACTTAAATCCTGGCTAACAGAAGCAAATCCAAAAAGTGAAATAAATGTTCTGCAGTTCAGCAGTGGGGAAAACAAAAGGTGCTATTCTAAAACAGCCTGGACTGTCAGGCTGGAAGCAGTGACTTACACCTGTAATCCCAGCACTTTGGGAGGCCGAGGCAGATAGATCACCTGAAGTCAGGAGTTCGAGACCAGCCAACATGGCGAAACACCATCTCTACTAAAAATACAAAAATCAGCCAAGTGTGGTGGCAGGTGCCTGTAGTCCCAGCTACTTGGGAGGCTGAAGCAGAAGAATTGCTTGAACTGGCGAGGCGGAGCTTGCAGTGAGCCGAGATCGCACCACTGCACTCCAGCCTGGGGGACAGAGGGAGACTCTGTCTCAAAAAATAAATAAAATAAGATAAATAAACAGGATTGTCTTTATGTTCCCAGCAGTCTCACCATTGACCAAAATAGTTAGAAGTTATAAATGAGTAATTAAAGGCAAAATCTGGTCCTAAGCCAAGAGAACCACCCTCCCCTGACCAATAAAAAATGAGGTAAACAGTTCTCCAGTATTTCTCCACTTTATTAAGTTGACCACCATATTTATGTATCTAAACATTTTTTATAAGTTTTCAGTGGTGTTTAGATTCTGAATTATTTTTCCACAATTAGGCACATTGGTTTGTATTTTATAGAGAACACTTATCTTTAGGACACAGATAAGAACAAGTATAATTTGCAAATATTACAAAGATGACTTCCAAATCTCAGCTGACCTCTTTCCCAACTGCAAATACTCATTTAGTCTTTAGTGACAACAGAGACCAAAAACAACCCCCCACACATCTGTGTGTGAGATTCTGGTGGCTTAGAAATCCCTGAAAGAGCAGTAAACTGATTATTGAAAAGCTCAGAACACTGGCAAAGCTTAAGTGCAAAGTATTTAACAGAAGGCCACAAGAATTGTTTTCCTAAGAGGAGCTAGGAACTATAAGTGTCATTTAGTAATGCATTGAAATGGCATTGCCTAGTGTGAGTGTTGCACAGAAACTTCAGGTCACTTCTTCTGCATCTATTATTTTGGATAAGCTTCCACTATCATAGCATGGCCCTGTAAAGAAAACAAAGTCCAATTAGAGCAATGAATGGTGATGAATCCAGTTAGTACAGAGACAGCAGAGAACAATGAGAAAAGTACAGGCTTTGGAGTTGGATCCTGGCTCTGCCATTCAATCACTGTGTGATCCTGGGAAACTTTGTAGTCAGTCTAAACTGGAATTTCTTTTACAAAATGAGGCTCATAGTGTCTATCTCATAGAGTTTTTGTGGACATTACATAACATACAGTATAGTTGTGTATGTGTGTATATATACACACACACATATATTTATATACATTCATATATACATGTATACATATATGCATCAGGCTCTGTCTACTACAGAATCTAATTCCTAGTGATGCTCTACAAATGGATGCTGTTAAAATGAGAAATCCAGGGGCTTTTTTAGCTGTGTAAAACAAACATGATACAGCAAATACCAATAAAAGTAAGTTTCTAGAGGGGAAAACTGAGGCTCTGAAAGGTTAAGTGACTCACCCAAATCACAAAGCTATTAAGGTAACAGGGCCAGGATTTGAAACCAGGTCTAGATGATTCCAAAGGCTGGGCTTGTCCCTTCTTTGTGCCTCACTCTGTCACCCAGGCTGGAGTACAGTGGTGCGATCTCAGGTCACTGCAAGCTCCGCCTCCTGGGTTCACACCATTCTCCTGCCTCAGCCTCCTGAGTAGCTGGGACTACAGGCACCCGCCACCACGCCTGGCTAATTTTGTTTGTATTTTTAGTAGAGATAGGGTTTCACCATGTTAACCAGAATGGTCTCAATCTCCTGACCTCATGATCCACCAGCCTCGGCCTCCCAAAGTGCTGCGATTACAGGCGTGAGCCACCGCGCCCGGCCAGAAGTAGAATATATTTTATCCAGCACTATACACAGTACTATGTACTAGCTATGTCCTTAGTTTAGATGAGTCTAAATCCTAGCATATAGTTTTTAGACACCCTGTCTCTAAAAAACAAAAAAGGAAATAAAAGAAACTATTATTTACAAAGTGCCAAGTTGAGCACTGTGCAGGTTTAAAGATTTGCTATGTGGTCTTTGTCCTCAATCAAGTATACAGTGGAGTTCAAAACAAACTATTAGGTACTTTTTATTTGTTTGTTTTGCTTGTTTGTTTGGTTTTCTTTTTTTGAAAAAGGGTCTCCCTCTGTCACCCAGGCTGGAGTGCAGTGGCCTGAACACGGCTCACTGCAGCCTCAACCTCCTAGGCTCAGGTGACACTTCCACCTCAGCCTCCCAAGTAGCTGGGACTACAGGCATGCACCAACACGCCCAGCTAGTTTTTGTATTTTTAGTAGACATGGGGTTTTGCCATGTGGTCCAGGATGGTCTTGAACTCCTGAGCTCAAGCAATCTGCCCACCTCAGCCACCCAAAGTGCTGGGATTACAGGCATGAGCTACCATGTCTGGCATGTAAAGTATGCTGAAAAGGCACAAGTAGACAAAAAAGCAGGGATAGGAAGGTTTGACTGACTTGGGGGTTATCCTGAAAGAATTCGTAATAAGGTAGAATACTCCTCTCTCACTTGCTTATTTTATTATTTATTTACTTTAATTTCTTTATTTGCTTTTTGAGACAAGGTCTCACTCTGTCACCCAGGCTAAAGTGCAGTGGTGTGAATACAGCTCACTGCAGCCTCAACATCCTGGTCTCAAGCAATCAGCTCACCTCAGCCTCCTGAGTAGTTGGGACCACAGGTGCATGCCATCATACCTGGCTAATTTTTGTATTTTTGGTAGAGATGTTTTGCCATGTTGCCCAGGCTGGTCTCGAATTCCTGGGTTCAAGCTACCCACCTGCCTTAGCCTCCCAAAATGCTGGGACTACAGGCATGAGCCACCGTGCCTAGCCCTCTCTAGCTTGATTTTAAACACACAGTTTTCATGTTCCATGTTTTTTCTTGCTCTAGATCAGATTTGGCAACACCTGGAGATACTTTTGGTCATGCCAATTGTGTGTACATGGGGCAGAGGTGGGGAGGAGCTTGTTGTTACTGCTATCTGGTGGGTAGAGGCCATGCTAAACACCCTACAACACACAGCACAGCCCCCCACAACAAAGAATTGTTTAGCCCAAAATGTTAGTGCCAAAGGTGAGAAACCCTGCTCTAGATTCACCATGATAGATTTCTCCTGTCTCCAGTCATGTTGGTATTACTCACATGGCTCTTGATCAAACAATGTCAAGTTTAATCTAGTTTCTCAGATGCATCTTATCTTCTCTCTTCACTATACTATAAACTTCTAGAAGGTGCTAGGTATCATTCTTTGTTCATCCATAAAAGCATCCAGTATTGTCTCATTTATACTCTACATGCTAGATAAAGAATTATGGAACACATACTCAAATCTGCAGACATTACCCTATGTGGATTACGCACTAAGCTCGTGAGTAATGTGTACAAGTTATCTCCCTGGTAGAAGTCTGGCATGGAGAGATAGAGGGATAGCTGAAGTCTTAATGGACCATGGTTTTCTGTAGATGAAGTTACACAGATTAAAAAACATTTCTGATCATAAAGTCCAAAATGTTCCAACTGATAAATAACTGACCCCTTGGTTTCTGCAAAGTCTCTGATGAAAATTCATGAAAATGGGCTTTTAAATGTAAGATTTATTTTATTTGTTTTTGAGACAGAGCCCCTCTCTATCACCCAGGCTGGAGTGCAGTGGCGCCATCTCGGCTCATTGCAACCTACGCCTCCGGGGGTCAAGTGATTCCCCTGCCTCAGCCTCCCGAGTAGCTGGAATTATAGGTGCATACCACCATGCTAGGCTAATTTTTGTAATTTTAGTAGAGGCAAGGTTTCACCACGTTGGCCAGGCTGTTCTTGAACTCCTGACCTCAAGTGATCCACCCGCCTCAACCTCCCAAAGTGTTGGGATTACAGGTGTGAGCCACTGCGCCCGGCCTGTTTATGCTTTTAAATATTTATTCATTTTGATCAGGAACAGGAAGTTTCTGTAATCTAGAGGAAGAGAAAATCTGTTCACATTGTAATTAAAAAAAAAAAAAAAAAAAAAAAAAAGGGCAGGCGCAGTGGCTCATGCCTGTAATCCCAGCACTTTGGGAGGCTGAGGCAGGCGGATCACCTGAGATCAGGAGTTCGAGACCAGCCTGGCCAATACAGTGAAACCCCATCTCTACTAAAAATACAAAAAAATTACCTGGGCTTGGTGGTGAGCACCTGTAATCCCAGATACTCAGGAGGCTGAGACAGGAGAATTGCTTGAACCTGGGAGGCAGAGGTTGCAGTGAGCCGAGATGGGGCCACTGCACTCCAGCCTGGGGGACAGAGCAAGACTCTGTCTCAAAAAACAAACAAACAAAAAACAAACTACGATCTTCCTTTTGGATTTTATTCCTAGAGTGAGATGCTACAGCAGTCAGGAAGTTGGGTCTGTAATGCAAGCGAAGTAGAAAGGAAAAAAATCTGTCAACAATATACTTCCCCAGCTGAACAGCAGTAAGTTATCCAGAAGTAAATTAACTCCCCAGTTAAGGTATAATTCAGTTCTCTAGAAAGACAGTTTCTCTCTTGGAGAGATTTCATAAAGTCTTAACGGTGACTAGATAAATAAAAGTTTATTATTAAAGAAGAAAATATATCAAGATGTTAATAATGATAATGTCTGATGGGGAGATTATAGATGACTCTAACTTTTTCCATATACTTTTCATATATTCCACAATTTTCATAATCAGCATATATTTATAAGTAAAAAATAAACATTATATTCGGGAAAAATAGCTTGGGTTTAAATAGCAGTTTCCTTCCAAAGAATTACCAGAATTATGGCAGGGCATGGTGGCTCATGCCTATAATCACAGCACTTTGGGAGGTCAAGGTGGGTGGATCACTTGAAGTCTGGAATTCGAGACCAGCCTGGCTAACATGGCGAAACCTTGTCTCTACTAAAAATACAAAAATTAACTGCACACGGTGGTGCACGCCTGTAATCTAAACTACTCGGGAGGCTGAGGAACGAGAATCACCTGAATCCAGGAAGTGGAGGTTGCAGTGAGCTAAGATATGACCACTGCATTCTAACCTGGGCAACAGAGCAAGACTCTGTCTCAAAAAAAAAAAAAAACCCAAAAAACAAAAAGTATTATCAGAATTAAAGCTGTTATCCCTCCCCACTCCCCACCCCCGTGTCATCAAAAATATTGCTTTAAGAAGGTTTCAAACTAAATCATACATTCTAGTCATTCCAAGAAAATGACTCTCTGGAAGGTCCTATGACACCACTGTAACGTACCTGCCCTCCAGCTGCGCAGGCAGCCACTAAGCCATACTGGCCTCCTTCTTTCCGTAATCTGTTGGCAGCTGCCATGACCAACCTGCAGCCAGTGGCTCCAAATGGGTGTCCCAGGGACAGAGATCCACCCCAGTTATTAAACTTCTCCAAAGGAGGCAATCCAACCTGGCTCCCACAAAGACACAAATGTAAAGATAAGTTTACTTAAGATCAGAATCAAGCCAGGCTCTTAGTACTATGAAGTAAGAGGGATAAAGGAAAATACCGAACGTCAGACATATTACAAATAATTTTACTGCAAAAGAAAGTAAGTCTAGGTCAATATTAAAAGTCAGGAGTCCATTTATTTTTCATCTAATGCCAGAATGCAAGGAACAAAAGATACCACAGAATTTTAATTTTGCTAATTTCTATTTTTAAACTAAGAAATAAATATATTTAATGAAACAAGAATTTCTATCTTTACACTAAGAAATAAATATCTTTCATGAAAGACAAAATTCTTCAAAAGAAAGAGAAGCTTTTCCTTCATATTCTTAAGAACAGGTAACTAAGATCCAATTATTAACGCGTTTGAAAATTCAAGCATTTTTTAAAATCAGAAACTCACCTTGGTTTTTCTACCCATGTAGTTTTCTGCAAACCAATCAGAATCCATAGCTTTAAAATTTGCCAAAATCTGACCCTGGAAGAGAAAATAATTGAATAAGAACCTTGTTATTCATGTTCCTCTACGCTTTCTTATGGGCACGGTTTGTGAAAGTTTAACAACTTGTAGGTATGCTTTAAAGTTGAGCAAATTGGACGGGCGCAGTGGCTCACATCTGTAATCCCAGCACTTTGAGAGGCTGAGGCGGGTGGATCATCTGAGGTCAGGAGTTCAATACCAGCCTGACCAATATGGTGAAACCCCATCTCTATTAAAAATATTTAAAAAATGAGTCAGGTGTGGTAGCAGGCACCTGCAATCCCAGCTACTCGAGAGGCTGAGACAAGAAAATTGCTTGAACCCAGAAGGCGGAGGTTGCAGTGAGCTGAGATCACGCCACTGCACTCCAGAGGGGGCAAGAGAGCAAGACTCTGTCTCAAAAAAAAAAAGTAAAGTTGAACAAATCTTTGTATCAGTTTTCAATCAGAATTTCCTAAAGAAACAATTTGGTATGTTCTCCAACACTGTATGGCCCTTCCTTCCCTCCCCTCAGGCACCTCCCAGCAGTGTGAGTCAGTACTTAAAATATATAGGTCCACTCCTGCTCTACTCACATCATAAACCATGCCTTGCTCTCTCCCACAAATATGGACGACATTTTTTATGACTATAGTCCCTTCATATGTGTCTTTCAAATGACTTACCGAGAAAGCTTCATGAAATTCAAAAGCATCAATATCATTCATGGTTAATCCTGCCTTTTCTAGAACTTTTGGAGTAGCATATGTTGGCCTGAAAAGAAAAAATAAGTAATATCTTAAAACTTTAATTTTTAAACTAAGAGCTTCTTCATATTCCCCAAACTGAGTTTAACATAAGTACTCTGGCCGGGCGCGATGGCTCAAGCCTGTAATCCCAGCACTTTGGGAGGCCAATACGGGCGGATCACGAGGTCAGGAGATCGAGACCATGCTGGCTAACACGGTGAAACCCCGTCTCTACTAAAAAATGCAAAAAATTAGCCGGGCGAGGTGGCGGGCGCCTGTAGTCCCAGCTACTCGGGAGGCTGAGGCAGGAGAATGGCGTGAACCGAGGAGGCGGAGCTTGCAGTGAGCTGAGATCCGGCCACTGCACTCCAGCCTGGGCGACAGAGCGAGACTCCGTCTCAAAAATAAATAAATAAATAAATAAATAACATAAGTACTCTGTCTTTTCACTCATTCTTTGGTTTTTCTGTACTGATTAATTAAATGTTAAAGATAAAATAATGAAACTGTACAGACATGCCCTCTACCCTTACTATGTTGCAGAGTCAGAGAAATTGATAATAAATAAACAATGAGGGATAAGGACAAGCTAATAACATGAAGAACTGAAGAACAGAGTTCAAAGAGCAAGGCAAAGGAAAGGGCTTAACTGATGTGAATGTCACAGTGGAGGCCAGTGAGGCTACAGCCTTGTGAGGGAGCGGAACGGAGTCTAAACATGCAGAGGCTTTTATAAAAGGCTGTATTACGAAGATTGTGTAGCAGGGTGTGTAGCCATATGAAAAAATGCCTATGATAACTTCATGAAAAAGAATGTTAAGTTGTGTGCATCCATATATATATGTAAAACTTAAAGGAAAAAAATGGAAAATAATCCAAAACTATAAAATGATATACCAATGGAAAGGATTACTATTATTTTATTTATTTATTTATTTATTTATTTATTTGAGACAGAGTCCCACTCTGTCGCCCAGGCTGGAGTGCAGTGGTGCGATCTTGGCTCACTGCAAGCTCCGCCCCCCGGGTTCACGTCATTCTCCTGCCTCAGCCTCCCGAGTAGCTGGGACTACAGGCGCCCGCCACCACACCCGGCTAATTTTTTTGTATTTTTAGTAGAGACAGGGCTTCACCGTGTTAGCCAGGATGGTCTCAATCTCCTGACCTTGTGATCTGCCCACCTTGGCCTCCCAAAGTGCTGGGATTACAGGTGTGAGCCATTGTGCCTGGCCAGATTACTATTATTTAAAAAAAAAAAACAAAAAAACCACCACATAAACCAATTATGAACTCAGGGCTTAATATACTCTCAAACCAGTGTAATAAATAAATAAATAATAAACCAGTGTTAACCATTTATTAACCAGTATAATAAAACGTGGGCAATCAAATATTTGTGATTATAGTCCAAGGATACAAACAGCTACCTACCCCAGTAACAGTTGATCTTTTGGATCCTGAGACACATACATAAAATCCCTAGGTAAAAAAATAGAGAGGTAAGCTCTGGTAATAAAGAAATCAGAGATGATTCGTTTGAACATTTACTTTACCTCAAATATGCCTTCGGCTTATAACCCATGGCCAAAGCCTTTTCCTCTGCCATAATCAACATTGCAGATGCGCCATCAGTCTGAAATGTTAACCAGCACAATGTTAAAATTCTTCAGCCTATCTGGAGGTCTTTCTCCAGCCAGCTCATATGTTCTGTACCTGAATCTATTAACTCATTAGACTTATACAGTGATTCTGTATAATAACACTTACTTCGCTGTATCCATCATTAAATCATAATTCAAACATACACACACAGACTAATTTTTGAAGGATGAGGGTAGAGAAGGCTGTTCAAAAGTATCATAATAATCAAAATGAATCAACAGAAGAGGTAAGTTTAGAAATAAATGCTCATGGCCAGGCGTGGTGGCTCATGCCTATAATCCCAGAACTCTGGGAGGCTGAGGTGGGCAGATCATGAGGCAGGTGATCAAGACCAACCTGGCTAACACGGTAAACTGCATCTCTACTAAAAATACAAAAACTTAGCCAGGTGTGGTAGCACACACCTGTAGTCCCAGCTACTTGGGAGGCTGAGGCAGGAGAATCACTTGAACCCGGGAGGTGGAGGTTGCAGTGAGCTGTGATCACCCCACTGCACTCCAGCCTGGGTGACAGAGCGAGACTCTGTCTCAAAAAAAAAAAAAAGAAAGAAAAAGAAAAAAAGAAAGAAGTGCTTACAATAAATACTTATTTAAGCCAAAGTTTTTAGTTTCTGGCACAAAATATTAACCAAAATAAACATATCTCTTATTTATTTTTACATTTTCTGGGCTGTTTCTCAGCTGCTTTCTGCCCATGGCTTATAGGTCATTTTATTCTACTTATATATTCTATAACAAGCAAATCAATGGGAGAACCAGCTGAGGACATTAGAACCACAATCTTCCCTCTTTGGATACACCCCATACATTTCTTCCCAAGTGACAACCGAGAAGCTGGAGGACAAAGAAGTACTACTGAAAAAACGTCCTTACCATACTTCGAAAAAGAAAAGCTCCCCCCAAAAGTCTAGAATTCCAAAGAAGAGGAAACTATTCTTCATAATTTGTAAAATCAAAATAAGTTCTACCATATTCTGTCATATTTTTATAACTCGGCAATCCTGAAGAGACTGTGTAGCCACCAATAGGGTGTCCATAACTTCTGGAGGCACAGGTGACCATTTGGAATAAATGGTTTACAGACATTACATTACTAACAGGTTCAGTGTGCCATTGTGCAAAATTGCAATGAATGTGGGGCATTAATGCAGTCCCCAAAATCCATGTATTGTGATGTGTCACCTCTGATGATTTGTCTCTGATTCTCACTAAATAAACCTGGACCTTTAGCATACCCTGGAAGTAATCAAAAGGATGCAGATCTGACATGTGTACTCCATGCCACATGGCTCTATCATCCAATTTGGTTTTGCAAATGACCAACCTAACCAGCTCTTCACCACCTGGGATTAACAGGGTGGTGTTCCACACTGTTGGAACTACTCTAGAGTCCACTCCCCTAGCCTATCAAGCGCAGGCATTAATTAGTCATTTACCATGGGCAAATATGTCAAACATCTGCCTATGTTTTCAAGACTTTATGGCCAGGTAGGAGAGTTACATTGTAAAAGAAACTTTGACCAGATGGCCTATATCCAGAAGACTATATCCAAGGTGGTAAGAGAAGAGAAATCACATCTTACAAGCAGCAGCAGAATCAATAAAGATGTTTAACTGAGGAGTCAGAAAAGCAAGGAAGGATATGAAGCTACATGTTGATAAGTTAAAAACATACACACACACACACATACACACACACACACACACAAAAAACAAACAGTGGCAGATTTGTTCCATGATGCTTACAAGAAAATAATATTGGTGTCAGTGTAAAGCAGTTTATTTTTATTTTTTTTTTTTGAGACGGAGTCTTGCTCTGTCGCCCAGGCTGGAGTGCAGTGGCTTGATCTCAGCCCACTGCAAGCTCTGCCTCCCGGGTTCACGCCATTCTCCTGCCTCAGCCTCCTGAGTAGCTGGGACTACAGGCACCCGCCACCATGCCCGGCTAATTTTTTTGTATTTTTAGTAGAGACGGGGTTTCACAGTGTTAGCCTGGATGGTCTCGATCTCCTGACCTCGTGATCCGTCCGTCTCGGCCTCCCAAAGTGCTGGGATTACAGGCATGAGCCACCGCACCCGGGCCTAGTAAAGCAGTTTTCTAACAATCAGAGCTGGAAGAGGTATCCTGTTACTCTTTCTGCCTGCTTTTCCTTGTCTTCTGCGACTTCCCAGTTCATACCTTATGCTCCAACCTAACTTTTCCCCCAAAGAACCCCTTGCTCTCATACTTCCTTGATTTTGCATTTGCTGTTCCCTTTGTACCGAATGCCTTTTTTTTTTTTTTTTTTTTTTGAGATGAGTTTCACTCTTGTTGCCCAGGCTGGAGTGCAATGGTGCAATCTCGGCTCACTGCAACCTCCGCGCCTCCCGGGTTCAAGCAATTCTCTTGCCTCAGCCTCCCGAGTAGCTGGGATTACAGGCCATGTGCCACCACACCTGGCTAATTTTGTAGTTTTAGTAGAGATGGGGTTTCTCCATGTTGGCCAGGCTGGTCTCGAACTCTTGACCTCAGGTGATCTGCCTGCCTCAGCCTCCCAAAGTGCTGGGATTACAGGCGTGAGCCACTGCGCCTGGCCTGGAATGCCTTTTAAAATCCTTTCTGAGTTAGCTCTCACTTTTCCTTCAAGATTTGCTGCTCAAGTGTTACCTCTTCCAAGATGACTCTCCGACTATCCCCCGATCTGTGTCAGGGGCTCGACCTAAGCCTAAGCCTATGCTTACAGCCATCACAGCATCTCACTATATTGCAATTGTCTATTCTTTTCATTTCCAGGGCCCACCATAAGCAATAGAAGTTTTCTGACTGGTTAAGTGTCTGAAGAAAAGAGCTTTTGTAGCAGAATGGTGGCTGGATTAGGTAACTTCTCGGGCCTTAAAACCATGCGTCCATTTTTTTTTTTATGACTCCACTTTCACATTAAAATGAATAACTATATTTTTACCCTCTATTCATAACACACACAAAAAAATTTATATTAGGCTTTTCTACAGAGAGTACAGAAATAGAAAAGTCACTACTAAATACAAATAGCATTGACAGTTACCAAGAAAGAAGAATTTGCAGCTGTCACTGTGCCGTAGGGCTTGATGAATGCAGGTTTTAGTTTGGCCATCTGCTCCAGTGAGGAAGGACGAATGCCATTATCTTTGGTAACTGTATCTTTTCCTATTAAAAAAATGAATTTTTTTTACCTCTTTGGAACTATAAGCCTTATATATCTTCTCCAGAGAAATATGCTTCAAAAATTACAAAAACAAATGAAATATAAACCTTACCTATTCACTAGAAGGAAAGTGTTTTATAATTATCATGTTATCAAATTTTAAACTAAAGTCTTAAAGGACAATTGGGAAATCATCTAAATGCTTTACTAAAAATAGGACATCCTATTTCTTAAGACATTCATTCACAGTTGGTTATTCTATACAGAAGTCAGACGATTCAGGAATTTTAAAAACAGGCATGTAGGTAAGAACTAAAATATATCAGCAAGATCTAAAAGGAGACTCTGTTTGTTTTTCTTTTTTTTTTTTTAATTAGAGATGAAGTCTCACTCTGTTGACCAGGTTGGTCTTAACTCCTGGCCTCAAGTGATCCTCCTGCCTCAGCCTCCCAAAGTGCTGAGATTAGTGCTCAGACCTTAAAAGGACACTCTTATAGAAACTTTAAAAAAATGTTTACCTATTGTTACAACATAAATCAAAATTTGCATCCATACTTAAGAATAAAGACTGAATACTTTGGAAACAGAACCAACATACTTATTGCAAAATCACTTGGGAATTTTTTGAGTTTTAGGAGCAATTCAGAACTCCCTAATTAGTGTCATGAAGCATTTCATTTTACCTGGTACTCTGAAGGGTACGACATCAGAAAGGAGTCCCTCATCCTGTGCCTTCTTGGCCAGACTGTGAGAGCGCAGTGCGTATTCATCCTGTTCCAGCCGAGAAACAGCAAAGGCGGCAGCCAGTCGGTCTGCAGAGTGGCCCATGGTCTCACTGGTGGAGAACTCAGCAACTGCAGGAAGCTGGGAAAGGAGATATCCGAGAAGCAGGTACACTGTTAACAGGTGTTATTCCAACACCGAGGATTGTTCTGTGTTATTTGGAAAAGTTAAAATCTATTTGTTTACCATTAATCAATCAAGACCAAGACAAGGGAAGTTCTTTGTCAGCAGAGGATCTCTAAAGAGGGCTCACAAATTAAAGTTTTCTACCCACTATGTTTTTTTATCAACTTGACCAAATAACCCTTTCCTGTAACTACAGAATCTACACCTACTACAGCATAGCAGAGTCCACATTGCCATACCTAATTCTAAATCTCTGCAGTGGGATGCCCTGCAAACACAAGCCTTACCTCAGGTGCTAGGAAATTCAATCGGAATTTAGAGATTAAAGACAGTCGCTGGCCCATAGATTTGGCCTTATTGAGATCAAGCATCAGTTTTCTCATTTTCCTTGAGTGACGAATAGGGATATCGGACATCAACTCAACACCACCTGCCACGATCACATCACACTGGCCAGAAGCAATCAAGCCAACGCCTACAGGGCACAGGTTATACTTCATGAATATCTTTTACAGAAAATAACATGCCATTCCAATTTAAGCTTCTTGATTAAAAGGCTGAATAACAGTTATCAGCTTTGTACAACATCTGTAATTAAAGTTTTCAACTTTTCAGAAGAATTAAGGTAATTGTTTTAAATGACTAAAAACACATTCAACACGTTAAAGAAAAACAAGTTTTCATTCCTGCCATATGGACATCAACTTCTAGAAATATCCATTGGACCAACTCTTGAACAAATCATTATTCCAAACCAGAACATCTTGCATATTTATATGCTCCCAGCTTTAGTTTTAAGAAATATTTTTTATCCTATAAAGAGAATGTTAACTTCTGCTACAAAGCAGATAAATTCCAGCTGTTAAAATGTAAGGCAGGCCCCCTCTCTCCTTATGGTCACTATTCTCTTTTTTTCTTTTTTGAGACGGAGTCTCGCTCTGTCTCCCAGGCTGGAGTGCAGTGGTGCGATCTTGGCTCATTGCAAGCTCCGCCTCCCGGGTTCACGCCATTCTCCTGCCTCAGCCTCCCAAGTAGCTGGGACTACAGGCGCCTACCACCATGCCTGGCTAATTTTTTTTTTGTATTTTTAGTAGAGACAGGGTTTCTCTGTGTTAGCCAGGATGTTCTCGATCTCCTGACCTCGTGATCCGCCCACCTTGGCCTCCCAAAGTGTTGGGATTACAGGCGTGAGCCACCGCGCTGAGCCTATTCTGTTTCTCTAACCAGGAGTTGGTCACATGCTGCCTAGAGTGGTGAACACCCCCAATCACAGGCATCATTCCCCGCCACATATGAGGTGGGCTGCCCACCTGGGCCTTGATGTTACTAGACGAGCATATGATTACTAAATCTTTCAGACTTCCTGTCTCTTCACACTACAGGCTGATGCTACAAAATACCCCGTAATTTTGTTAAAATTTGTTAGGGGAATTTTCAATGATTTATAAAAATGCCAAGGATGTGGGAAGAAAGTGAAGGAAAGAGCTGTGCCATCTAAAGCAATGATTTACAAGTATGGTAGTGGTGAAGGAAGGAAGACCATATCTTTGTGGGAAAATATCATATCTGAAGCACTAGGTTGAAAGCCTGGCAGGTTGTAAACTATTTACTCATGCTTCAGATGCTGAAGTACCTTCCTAGAGATATACTCCTCCATTTGATAATCCCTGCTGCAGCCAGCCACATTATTCACAGAGGAACCACGCCAATGGTAACATCCCTCAGGTATGGAGAGCAAAAAGAGAGGTTAACTATGGTTAGAACTCCCAAATTTTAAACTTGACCTTTCTTTTTAAAAAACACAAGTAGAGATCTGTGCTAATCTATCACTTCTGCTAAGAGTACTTTTTGGGATGAGCTTGGTGGCTCATGCCTGTAATCCCAGCACTTTGGAGGTTGAGGTAGAAGGATCACTTGAGGCCAGAGGTGTAAGACCAGCCTGGGCAACATGGCGAGATCCTGTCTCCACAGAAAACTGAAAAATTAGCTGGGTGTGGTGGAGTGCCTGTAGACCCAGCTACTTGGGATCCTAAGGCAGGAGGATCTCCTGAGTTCAAGAGTTTGAGCCTGCAGTGAGCTACGATGGTGCCAATGCACTCCAGCCCGAGTGACAGAGTGAGATTCTGTTTAAAAAAAAAAAAAAAAAGTACATTTTTATCATCAAGTAAAAGACAAAGGAGGAAAATTAACATGTACTGTCTGCTTCCATTTAAACATACCTGTGGTCATGGCTTGGTTGGCAGAGATACAAGCCATGGTGACAGTGTGAGCAGGAGTCTTGTCAGAGAAGCCAGCTCCAAGGGCAGCCTTCAGGAAATACAGTGAATGAAATGATCACTCTAAGGGAAGGGCATCATGTAAATGATGCTTTGAACACTAATCTTTATTGTCATCTGAAAAGGGTTTCAGTTTAAAATTCTCCAGAGCAATATTTAAAATAAAATTAAGCCTATCACAGAAATGGTTTACTAATATTTAATCATGCCATTAATTGACAGGTATATGCAAAATTCCTGCTGGCTGGTTTCTAGTGCAGACACGAGGCTATAATACTCTTCTAACTCACCTAATTTCTTATCGATGCTTTGCTCAGGGCCTTCAAGGATATCAATATATAATTTGATTTTAACTTGTTTAATGTTCAAATATACTTAAAGGAACCTATTAAAGACAGTTGGTGAAATGATGATGAAATATATTATGGGGTGGAGTCTTCACAATCTGTGTTATCAGGTCTCATGATCAGTCACAAAGCTTAGCAGCAAAGCAAAAGTGATTAAACATGAAAATGATTTCTAAAGAACTGACCATTCATAAACAGAGTTCCCACTTAAGACCCTATTTGCTTTACACCTATCTTTCTGCTCACGGCCAGCTGTTCTCTCTTACTGACCATCTGATACTTCGGTTAGCACACTGCAGACCCAATGCAAAGATGAACTGGAAAACTTGCCAACTATACAGAAGCTCAACTCAATGAAAGAAACTGGAGAATTGCCTGAGTTACAAGTGAGCCTGTGAACAAGTAAGGGTCAGACCAGTTAACAAGTGGCCAGGATGATGGCATAATAGGTGATACAGAGAGAATAATTTGTCATCTGAGCGGCTTTAAGAAAAACTGAGGTCATCATTAATCTTGTAAAAATGGCCTCTATTATAATGGCACAGTGAAAGTCAAACATGAAATGAGGACGTCTATAATTTTATTATACTATTTATTGGGGGAAATTATGCTGCCAAAAACCAATCAATGTCTGATCCCATTTTTGTTTATGTAAATAATTAATGCATAGGTGCAACTGTAAAATACTTATTTTTATAATATTAAAGTTTTACTTTAGAAATAAAGCTTCCAGATTTCCCTCCACATACACACCCACACACTATTTACTATGAAATACTGGATCCCATTATAGGGAATTCATTTTTAGTACTCTTTTCCAAAACTAATTATCCTCAGAATGCAAACTCTCCTATAACTTAGTAAAATAAATGTTTCCAAAGTCTCAATTAGAGATTCAATGTCTCTTAACTGATTTTTACCTTTATACTTATTTACTTTTATGCTATTTACCATCATCTATAGAAACAGAAATGTGTTACAGTGATGTATCTGCAACATGACTTCATTCTGGTCTTTCCAGGTAGGCCTGATACTAAATGCCCAACCTGCTTTGTTGAGAACGTCTGCCGGGCACCTGCGCATCAGCCTCTCAGCATAAACCAATCCAAAAGGAAGAGAGACGTTAAGTATCTCAGGGGGGCAGGAGAGAAGAGCTCTGCAGTGGGGCAAGTGTAAAAGGGGCATTAGGTTGCAATGGCTTGATTCTCACAAGGGCCTTTCTAGTATGTGTTGCCCTTGGCCCTAGATGACTCTCAGGACTGAAGGAGCTTTAAATAGAGGTGGCTATTGGTGACCCTTGTCCACACACTTCTATTGAAAGTTTGAATAGCTCTCAGGGCACTAAGGGAAAAGGAGGAAGATGCCTCTAAGTTGGAGAACAGGGAAATATGCTGAACCTTTCAACAAAGTCAGGTTCACAGCAACACCAGAAGCCTTTTACTATACTATACTAACATCGTTAATACAGGCAATAGAGCCTAAGAAATTCTTTGGCTGGAAATTATGTTAGCTTTTAGGCTGCAATACAGCTTTAAAGTGACATTCTTATAATGTATCCCCTCAACCCAGTCTTTCCATGCAGATACTGCAAAAATTACCTGGAGTATAACATAACTGGTATTAGAACAGGGCAGGCAGAGGGAATCTACCTCCTGTCAATCAATAGCTGAGATCTGCATATGGATGTAAAATTTCCAGGAAAAAATTCAGAGAAAAACATTACGGCTTTAGTTTTAGGGAAAAAAAGAACTGAATTACAGAGAAAATGGAAACATGTATTTATATTTATTTATTTATTTATTTTTTGAGGAGGAGAAGGAAGAAAGAGGGGGATAAAAAGCTGAGCAAGAGGAGAAAAGAGCAAAAAATTTTACTATTTACATCTTGAGTGCTCTTATAAAAGTCACTTGGTTATTTTCAGAATATAAAAGTTGAAAATGTATTATGAGCAGCTTGATGTATTCACAAAATTGTCATATTTGAAACATTCAGAAATGTCAAGGTTCAAGGAAAAACAAAAAATTTCAGAGGGGAAATAAAATCTCTTCCTGTTGTTAATTCCTTCCTGTCCCTCAACAGCACACAGTTGATCTTTGTCGGCTTCAGTCATGCCAGGTCTTCAGCAGTTTTAACATTTCTGACAGGTACAGAGGTGGAACAGAACAAATACTTTCAGTCCTGCTTATTTGCCTTTGTCTCTCAGTCGACAGTGATAGAAGTTATTACCCTCACAACTATACTGAACTCAACAATATGGCAAGCACAGACCGGAACTAGGGAAAATGCTGAACACAACGAAATGTCTTTTGGTGCCAACTTCATCCAAACAATCGCTTTCAAATTGAAACAGCCCAGAAGACGTGTTTGGACTTGCTGTAGGACACGTCCTAGAAGTTCCAAGGCCTGTCATTATCTTGGTTGCTCAATCGACACTACATGGAGCTATGCCAACTAGGGCAAAAGTAAACTTCTGTGAAATCGTTTTTAAAAAGCCAAACTGCCTGACGTGCCATCTAGTCGATGGGAACAAATGAGTAAGCAAGGCTACTTCCAGCTAACAAAAACCAAGTTATGAAATTAGTTCTCTGCAAAATGTTGAAATTTTAAATTAACTGGAAGCCATGATATCTAACATTACTAAAAATACTATCAGCCGCACTTTGCTGATCTCTATTTTCCTAACACAAGAGACAATGTCCTAAACCAGCTCAAAAAATTTATTTGATTTAAAGTATGAATATACACTAATATAGTGTATGTCACTTGATTTATATTAGAATTCTTTTACATATTGTGTATGTCATTTGATTTATATTAGAATTCTTTTACATATTAAATAACACATTATCCAAGCTGTAAAATCACATTTTAGGTCAAATGTAAATAAATAGATATTAAAGGCTTTTATAAAGTAACTTCTATTAATTGAAATTCAAAGTGATTCTACTATCACTCTTTAAACAACATAAAGTTTGTTTTACTCACCTCTCTAGCCACATTGCTTGTTTTCACTTCCTGAATAACTGTGCCAAAGATGATATAATCAACTACTTCCTTAGGGACACTGGTCCGATGCAACAAACCCCTGGAAGTAGAAATCCAAAGCAAAGAAACATTTCACACATCAAGGCAGTGCCAGAGATCATCACACAAAACACTGTGCTCCTTAAAAAAGGTTAGCCTTGCCGGGCACGGTGGCTCACGCCTGTAATCCCAGCACTTTGGGAGGCCGAGATGGGTGGATCACGAAGTCAGGAGATCGAGACCATCCTGGCCAACATGGTGAAACCCCTTCTCTACTAAAAATACAAAAAAAATTAGCCGGGCATAGTGGCGTGCGCCTGTAGTCCCAGCTACTCGGGAGGCTGAGGCAGGAGAATGGCGTGAACCCGGAAGGCGGAGCTTGCAGTGAGCCGAGATGGTGCCACTGCACTCCAGCCTGGGCAACAGAGTGAGACTCCATCTCCAAAAAAACAAAAAAAAAAAGGTTAGCCTTGAATTTGAAAGGACAGAGATTGTATCTTTTAATTTGACAAGCATTTGGCACCTTCTCAAAGAAGAAATGAATGAAAGAGTGATTTTAAAGTGAACATTTGATGCTCAATTGGTAATGAGAAGTTAGAGAAGAATAAAAAATAATTTGGAATAGGATAAAATAGATAAGAAACCTATAAATTAATTAATGTTAGTAGAAACCAAAGTTCTCAGTAAAAAAGAGAGACAAATATTCCATCAAAGAGATAAAACAAAGTCTCCCTTCAAACTATTAAAAAAATAAATTTAAAAAAAAGTTCTGGGTATGTTAAATTTTAGTTTGAAATATCAATATCAACAAATAATTGAAATAATATATACATTCTAGTTGTGCCCATGAATAGAAACTAGACACAATAACACTCCAGTAGAAATGAGCACTCCCTGAACCCAGACTTTTTTTTTTTTTTTTGAGACAAGAGTCTCGCTCTTTCACCCAGGTTGGAGCGTACTGGCACAATCTCGGCTCACTGCAACCTCCACCTCCTGGGTTTAAGCGATTCTCCTGCCTCAGCCTCCCGAGTAGCTGGGGCTACAAGCGCCTGCCATGACGCCTGGCTAATTTTTGTATTTTTAGTAGAAACAGGGTTTCATCATGTTAGCCAGGCTTGTCTTGGACTCCTGACTACAAGTGATCCACCAGCCTTGGCCTCCCAAAGTGCTGGGATTACAGGCGTGAGCCACTGCACCCAGCCCCAGACTAGGTTTCTAAATGCCATTCCCCATTAAAGGGACAAAAGGTTTTTTAGGAAATGACTGATACCAGGTCCAAAGGAAAGTACAAAATGAATCTCCATCTTTTTTGTGCCAAAAGTAAGGAAGCACTCAAAGATAAATGGGACGACATCAGGCGGGCACAGTGGCTGAAGCCTGTAATCCTAGCACTTTGGGAGGCCAAGGCAGGTGGATCACTTGAGGTCAGGACTTCGAGACCAGCCTGGCTAACATGGCAAAACCCCGTCTCTACTAAAAATACAAAAAAAAATTAGCTGGGCCTGGTGGCGTGTGCCTGTAATCCCAGCTACTCAGGAGGCTGAGGCAGGAGAATTGCTTGAACCTGGGAGGTGGAGGCTGCAGTGAGCAGAGATCGTGCCATTGCACTCCAACTTGGGCAACAAGAGTGAAACTCCATGTCAAAGAAAAAAAAAAGGACAAATGGGACCATATCAAAAACAGGAACATGGGGTATACACATTTGTCAAAACTCATCAAACTATACACTTAAAATCTGTGCACTTTATTACATGCAAATTATATATCAACAACCAGTATTATACTAAAAAACAAAAGGCACACTGGAGTCAACTTGAAGGAGTGCCAGATAAAATGTGAAATAAGCTGAGCTTCAAAATGAGTAATGACTAAACTTGACTATAATGAAATAAATAAATAAAAATCTGTAAGTCCTTATCAATTAAAAAAACTAAAAGAGGGTTAGATATATTGGCTCACGCCTATAGTTCCAGCTACTTGGGAGGCTTCGAGGTTGCAGTGAGCTATGATCAAGCCACTGTACTCCAGCCTTGGACAGAGTGAGACTCCATCCAGAAAAAAATAAATCAAAAATTAAAAAAAAATTTTTTTTTTTTTTGAGACAAAGTCTTCCTCTATTGCCCTGCCTGGATCATAGCTCATTGCAACTTTCAACTCCTGAGCCAAAGTAATTCTTGCTTGGTTAATTTTTAAAATTTTTTTCGTAGAGATGGAGTCTTGCTATGTTGCTTAGGCTGGTCTCAAACTCCTGGGCTCAAAAGATCCTCCTACCTTGACCTTCCTGCCTTGGTTTCTCAAGTGCTGGGAATATAGGTGTGAGAAACCATGCCCAGCTGGTAGATGAGATTTTTAAAAGGAAAATATGCATACAGAGAAATGCAAAGCTCTAAGGAATAAAACTTGCAAAATGCCTTTCAAAAAGAGAAAGAGGGAGAGATCCAGTTTTTTGGTTTTTTTGGGGGGTGTGTGTGTGTGTGTGTGTGTGTGTGTGTGTTTTGAGATGGAGTTTCATGGGTGTGTGTGTGTGTGTGTGTGTGTGTGTTTTGAGATGGAGTTTCATTCTTGTTGCCCAGTGCAATGGCGTGATTTCGGCTCACTGCAACCTCTGTCTCTCAGGTTCAAGGGATTCTCCTGCCTCAGCCTTCCAAGTAGCTGGGATTACAGGCATGCACCACTACGCCTGGCTAATTTTGTATTTTTAGTAGAGACGGTTTCTTCATGTTGGTCATGCTGGTCTCAAACTCCTGACCTCAGGTGATCCACCCACCTCGGCCTCCCAAAGTGCTGGGACTACAGGCATGAAATGCCGTGCATGGCCTAGTTTTTTTTTAAGGTAGAGAAGAGTCAGTCAGAATACAGAAGAAAAATCATAAAGGCATATTACTAAGAAGTCAATAGAAGACAGGTGAGTATAGCTTACAGTGTCAAGTGCTATAAAGTACAGAGACAGTGGACTGAGAAAAGATCAGTACATTTAGCAATCACAAAACCATTATTAAGAGAAGGTTCTAAAGTATGGTTTCTGTAAAACAAAGGGAGAATGGAAATAATGATTATACAATTAGAGGAAACTGATAGTAAGGAAACAGAAACAACTGCCGTTTCACTCATGCTTGAGGTCTTGCAGGAAGAGAAGAAAAAAAAACAGAGTTAGAATGGACAGAAAGGTCAACTGAAGGGTTTCTCCAAACTAAGAAAGAGCTGTGGTTGGTTGAAGACACAAAGGCAAAGTGTCAATGGAAAATGAATGAGATAATGCCTTACATGTTACTTTATCCCAGAAACAGCAACACATTTCATGACTCTCACCAAATTATTCATCCAGCCCAATCTTATTTAACTGCATCTAATTTTAGATTTTTACTTGGTTTGCACATGAATCTTCAGGTGTCTTTTAGGATTCTTTCTAGGTAAATATCTACATAATCTGTTCAGCTACCCTTATACAAGTTCCTAAGGCAATCACCAAATATATGTATTGTGTTTAGGCTGATCAATCGAGTCCTGTGGCTAGCTAGGATAGCATTAAAATATACTGTCATGCTAAGATACTGTTAAGCCTGCAAAATAAAGATTGATGATATTCATAAGCTGCTTAAATTTGTGTAGTACAGATGGTGAAAATAAGAACAAATTGCTATTTTATGTGTAAAAACTGGAGAAAGTGCCTTTAACGAAATAAGAACGGAAATGAAACTGCATTTACTTACGTAAGTGCTGCTCTAGCCAAATCGTGTGGCATCAGGTCTTTATATCTGGGGAAAGAAAACAAATAATTTAAACCGAAACCCTAGAGCTTCAATGAAAACTTTTCATTCTATTTGAAATACTCAGAGATCATCTAACACATGCTGCTACAAACACACTTAACTTTACTATCCAAGGCAGTTCATCATTTCAAATGAAGAAATAGTATGACTTCGCTATTTGTCATCCTTAAAAATCTAGCAAGGCTTAACTCCTACTAAGCTTGCTAAGAATCAAACAAAAATGTTGTCCAATACCTTAATGTTCAGCATAACACACACTAAATTTTCTTTAAAGTGAAGCCCCACCTTTGGGGTCTCTTTTCCTTTAAACATTTTATTTTAAAAGTATATTATTTATTTATTTTGTAATGCCTACAGGGCTACAGGTGATGTATTACGACTTTTGAAGAAACTCTTTGCTTTTAAGTAACTTGAGATTTACCTGAGAATGGAAAGAGGCCGAGCATGGTGGCTCACACCTAGAATCCCAACACTTTGGGAGGCTGAGGTGATATGACTGCTTGAGGCCAGGAGTTCAAGACCAGCCTGGGTAACACAACAAACAAGACTCTGTCTCTACAAAAAATATTAAAAATTGGCCAGGCGTGGTGGCATGACTGTAGTCCTAGCTAATTGGGAGGCTGAGGTGAGAAGACTGCTTAAGGCCATGAATTTGAGGCTGCTAGGATCACGCCACTGCACTCCAGTCTGGGCAGCAGAGCAAGACCCTGTCTAAATAAATAAA